CGTTAATAAATCTCTAAATTAACATAACAAGTTTATTAATTTTCTTCGTGGGTTATGAAATGTTCGAGTATTTCAAAGTATATAATCGTTTAGACTAGAAAGTCTGCTAATAGTGAATAGAGGACAATGAGGGCAAAAGTGTGTCCAATCATGTACAGGCTGACTGACATCAATTACAGGTAAACCTAGCAGCAAAGAGGGAATGGAATAAACTAAGTTTCAATTACTAGCAGAGATTTTTAGTTGACGTAACTATTAAAATCAATCTGGTGTTCATCCGAAGAATTATTGCTAGAGGCACACCAAAGGTTCTATTGTGACGTAGAGGATAATTATCAGTATCATTATAATTGATGAAAGGTTGAAATGAATAAGTAACATTAGGAGGACATCGGTAGTCTCAGATCTTTATAAAAAAGTGGATATTTTGATATATTTGTCTTTATTTTACTATCGGAGTTAGGGCAGACTCGTTATATAGTATGGATGTATGAATCGTGTCTTTTTGTAATGAGCATGACTTATAACGTGTTAAAAAATATGTCGGGAACACCTCCTGATTATATATGTTACCTTCGCATGATGTAAATCGCTGATCATTTTAACGTGTTATTTGCACGTTGTTATAAAAATATTTTCGTTCACTTTGTACCTTCTTCGATAAGGACCTTAGGGAAAATGTCGAGTTTCCGGAATTTCACGCCTGCTACATTTGCATCTTAGATAGCTCATTGCTTCTTTTTCCATCTTGATAATGACATACCTCCATTTTCACATATCACTAATCAAAATCCAAAATAGCAAGCAGTTATGGTCTAAATATAAGCACCATATACCAGCAAGATTATGCAAAGTTTTGAGGTAAAACCTACACCACGTTCATCACAGGACGCTATCGAGCTTTTAATCAAAACGTCTTTGACACGAGTTCCGTAATCATTATCAGTGAAAGCTGCAAGCAGGGAAAGTCAAATGGCATGTACAGAGCTCTTGTATAAATTGTTAAAGCCTGAATGAGTAATATCGCTTGTGACAAAAATTGAAGTTTTGATGTTAGCATTGAGCTACGCCCATCGACATTTGACAAGATGAACTACACAAAAGAAACCCATTCTTGTGTGAAATTGCACACTGGCAATGTTTAAAGCAACATCAGTGTTCTGGTCAAATCAGGCAAACGACGAATATTTAAATTGTAATTCAAAACTAATATGAATGTGTGACACTGTGATCCCACATTAAACCGATATGATTTACAACGTATCAACAATGAATGCGACATAAATGGAATTCACGGGAGCTGTCTAATTTGTTTTATACACAATGTTTGAGTAATGTTATTCATATTTCAATACATGACATAGCCAACAGGAAATAAAGATCATATTGTTGCTTGGACCTATAGTCGTATGTAGCTTCGATATCTTCCATCTGATAATCTTTATGACCAGTGAGGTAGTGACCAGGTCGTTGGTTTTGGCTTTTTTCTCCTAACCGGCTTTCCTGAAGCACCCAAACCTGAACGTCTTCAATGGAATCTGGCTGTAAATAGGACGTAATTTAACATTAAAGAAACGATCTTTCCAGTAGATAGCAAGACCACAATGCTTATGTGATGATTATGACGACTATAAAACTACTATATAATCTTTATCATTACGCATCTCTGGAATCCCGTATTGTGGGTTTGTATTGGTGATCAACAGAGGCATGTTTAGGGTTTAGAATATTGGGTTGCTTTCCAGATATGGAACATTCACAATATCGAAATTTAAATCATTCCGTTTATCAGCTTGATGGAAAGCTGCCCGTGTTCGTTTCATTGTAGGAAACTTTTAAATTTTTCACTTAGATATACGTATAGTCGTATGGGAGATACTGCGAACCAGATATTAGATCATATTATTATTTTTCTGTGTATATTTTCTCTTTTATTTGAACGTATTTAAACGAAATACACTTCAGTTTAGTTTAAAATCATGGCTATTTATCACCGTTCATCTTTATTTGAAGTTGTTTCGTCCTTCTGAGACTCGCCAGTAATGCTTTGGGCCTATGTTGTTGCAACCTAGGGGTAATCTATTAAAAAAATGAAACAGCTTACAACCTACATCTTTTGGTGTCCTACATATGTTTGTCATTGAAAGACTTACACGCTCAAACGTAAGATGGTCTGCACAGATGACATATTTAGTTGGACATATGTAGATGATATATAGAAAAACTAATGCATTTACAATGGCATTGTGATATAGACACCAAAACGGAGAAAAGAATGCGACAAAATGAAATTCGAAATTGACAAACCTGGACAAATGAGTATTGTAAGAACGGTGGTATTTTACTTGATGATCTGAATTGAGCTGGGTAATCTAATATTTATTTTATACAGTCATGCATAAGTACACAGACCTATAAGGACATCAACAAGTTGTATTTGGAGGTGGAAATGTATTTTCCTATCGTAGGTCTTCTACTTGATGTTAGAGCCAGAGTATGTAAGAGTGCGTGAGGGGAGTGCGATGGAGATGTGTATTCACTAAGGCTAGGTTCATATTAAGCTAATCGAGTTGATATGATGAACGGATTCAAAAAGTCTACCCTATATCACCACCTGTACGATTAACTGATATGTTTGTATGTCGTTACAGGATTGTCAGTATTCGGAACATTTATGAAATATGCCCGACAGACTTTACTGGACGTTCTAAGACAACTGGAAACATTAAAGTAAGTAACATATACATTTTCTAAGTAACATATCGATTTCCTAAGTTACATATCAATTTCTTTATGTTTCTCGTAAGAAGAATATGAAAATCGAGAAAAAGAAATTGACTTGCTGCAGCTGTTGTCACACATTCCACATGACTATTAAATACAGTCCTTGTGATTATTTTACGATCCTCAACAAGGGAAGTTTGTATTGATATGTCTGTCGTAAACTTTTGATGTTAAATGACAGCATTTATCTAAATAACGACATACAAGATGTGAGCACTGAATTCAGAAACACCGACACATGCTAAACATTGTAACATTCTGATGGTGATTTTTTAAAGGATTTTTCATCTCAGATTAAACTAAAGTCACTATTCATGTCAATGAATTCTCCATTACTTCCATATTACATGATAGACTAAACAATGAAGTAAGTCAAACGAATATCAATATTTCCGGAGAATCACATCCCTTACCGAACGAAAACAATATCTGAAAGATTTTGTAACTTATTTTCCTAAACAACACCTAGTACCACTATAGTTTTGGGGTCCAGGGAACAACTGGGCTATTTCATCTAGTGTCTTCGCAGATATAATTACTATATGTTTAACAAAGAAAACCAGATAATTAGTTCAATGACCACATCGAGCCCCTGAGTTCTTAATAGTAAGGGTTCACTGTATATATAAATCACAAAAAGTACACGTATTATTGTAATTTAAAGACGTTTTACTGTACATGTGCCTCTGGTTTTGTAGATGACGGGCTATACGAATTGGCCTTTATTTCTCAAATCGGACAATAAACAATTTGAAATAATACCCGAACCATCTCTTCTGTATGCGTTGCACACACATATCATGTGTCTCTTAACTACTTTTTCTCAACACAATACACAGGTACGTTCTCCAACATACAATAAATTCTTCGCGGCATTCATATGTATATCAGCTATATCTGGAATTTAGGCTACCTCAAATTCTACTTCTCCTTTTTATGTCCATTATAAAACCCAGAATTAGCAGTATAATGAAAGGCATGCGTTTGTGACACTGCATGATTTTATTTCCTGGAGTCCAATGTGATTTAATACATGTAGTTACGCTGTGGCCCTTTACAATAATGTTATCCACATAATACATGTATTTTGTGAATAATCCTGAGATAGTAAATTTATGTCTTTCACTCCAAGCGATTTCTTTCCCTTTTTATACTTATATCAGTAATTACAATGAAATGTAATTAGCCTCTACAGATAACGATTATAGCTAAATACTCTACTGAGTAGTATTATGTAACAATGTTTTTTTCTGTTAAATCTTTACGTAACCACATATTGATGTTTATGGTATACGTGTACGTCAATGAAAATTTTACAGTTACCTTGAATGACTGTATTCATTATTTGTTGGGCCAGAATAAGTACATGTATCTATACTGTAAGGCTTGTACAAAATGGTTATTGACATCTAGTTTTAGCCATTATTTGTCTATAACGCAGGATTAACAAACAACCCACCATGTATGAGTCAAAATCAATATGGTGCTAAATTAATTTAATTTTAGAATGTTGACTGATATGAATACCATTTCCATACTGTCCTGTTCTGAATTACTAACAGCACGAGAGCAACGTCAGTGGAAAATCAGAATCGGAGACCATCCGTCATCATCTTGTTACTGGTAAGGAGGGTCAAACTCCATAAATAAAATATTATATTACAATGTTTGAAGTATACTGAACGATGTAAAGGACAAATTACCAATAGAAGTGTCGGTCATGTTTGCATTGTGATGCATTTCCAGTTTGAAATATATTCACACTAAGAGTTCAAGGAGGTCAGTAATACAGCTTTTTCCTTATCCACCAATTTTGGAAATGACGTTTTTTTTTATATGACTCCAAAAATAAGATGAACCTTTTTGCTTGATTTATTTTTTATCAAGGGCAGAAAAGAGTATTTTCTGCTTCAATACCACGCCTCTCTAAACATAGTTTCCAATTGTATCAGTTGTCTGCATATTAAGTAATATATCGCAACAATGCATCAAGACGGACCTATCGATATATGAACTGTATGTTCCTCGAATTTTAAAATGAACATTTCTAGTATGTTAATTTTTGACTGGCCCAATTTTAGTCAAAAAGGATTTGTAAATAAAAACTGAATGGTATTACATTATAGTTAATACTTCTCGGTAGAGGTAACTTTTATTTTTCCATTTTCCTCGGTGACCCTTGCTATGATGAACTCAAACTAGATTAAGAGGCAATTATGAACGAGGAGAACCAGTTACTTGAGTCGCCCAGTCGGATCTATCGAGCACGCTGGTGGATGCTTTTGTTGTCGTCTCTTCATTTCCTTCACCAGAATGTCGGCTTTAACACCTGGGGACCAATAGCACAGTCAGTCAAAAGAGCATTTGACTGGGAAGATACCACTATAGTTTTTATTCTCAATATGGGTCGAGTGGGAAGCGTCCTTTACATGTGCATCGGATCATACGTGTTTGACAAAGCAGGTATGCGTGATTACCACGTGTCGTTAAAAAAACCCAAAGTAAGTAAGATATTCCAGAAATATATCGTTAGTAAAGTTAAGGACCTACATTTTGATTTGTGGTCGAAAGAAAAGAAAAGTCTCGAGGTTAAGCATTTGAAAGAGAGATAATGCATTCTATCAATAATGGACTATCATGTTCTCAACGAATCTCTTTTAGTTAAAGTACAATTGCCCTTGCACGTTTTTTGGAAAGTATTAAGCGAAATAACTGAGCGCATGGATTCTAAGTGGTTGGCACGGTGACATCAATGCTTTGAAGTACGTTAATATATCGTTTTTGTGATGATCATTTGGATTCCCATTAAAGCAGACATCAAATTCATCGAAAAAAAGAATAGGTGCTACGGTCAAAACAGCTTTTATTATCATTGAAAATAAAAACATTCACTTAAAATAGGAATAATTCTCGTAAAGTTATCATCTCGGTAGATATTTCTAATTTTTTTTCCCCGAAACTAAAATTTCTTTTCAGGTTTACGAGTAGCAATGCTGATCTTTTCTGTTGCTATGTTATTAAGTAACATTTTGCGATCACTGAGTAAAGACAAAGACGTAGCGGTGATGTAAGTATATCTATATTATTGTTTATTTAGGAGAGAAAATGTTATTGATTGCCGTTCATGCTTCAGATGTAACATTTTGTAATTCTAATTTGAGATCGATACACTCCATCATTGTCCAATCCAATTCTCAATCATCATGTTGAGCTATTATGAATACTAATATGATGTTTGTTTTTCATTAAAAGACTTATTACGATCGGAGAGTTTCTAAACGGGTGTAATGGAATAACAGCATTTGTAGCGCCACCTGTTATAGCAGACATGTGGTTTCCACCAGGAGAGAGAATTACCGCATCAGCCATCATGGTGCTAGCTGCATATCTTGGTGAAGGGCTGTCCAGTATTATTGGTAAGTGAAAGAACTTCCATAATAAAATTGATAGTCTTGCAAATCTTATCATAAAAGGGGTTTGAAAGTAGACTGCACGGATACACAAATATACATAGCTGAAATCGTTTGTGCTTGCTTATCTGAATGCTAAAGTGTATCTCCCACATGGACTGAGCCAGATGGTGCAAGTAAACAAAGAATGCTGCAAAACTACTAAGACCATGTGTTCTGAAGAGTTTAGTATTATGTTAGTTAAAAACTGGAAGAATATAATGATAAAATATAGTCTACACTTCACGTCAAAATCGCCTGTCTTAAAACATTAATTGACCTGTTATCGCGGATTGCTATTTCCTGTTGATTAGTCAAATTTATTGAGTGATCGTCACTGACTGCCAAAACTAATAACATAAAGGTTCAAAAGATGCAGGTTGATCAAAATTATAGGGAAGTTTTATGGTCACCATAGTGATCTTGTTGAGAAATATTCTATTTCTCTGTGCGATATGAAACTTGATGTATTTGATGCTCGTTAGTTTGCATGTTCGTTCCGTTCTTGTATATCTTGTTCTCATCTGTGAACGCGACATTTCTTTCTTGGTTGACCAAGGTTTACATGGCGGGTGTCGTCGATGAAGTAGAATACGCTAACTCTTCCAGAACACCGGAGAATTGAACGGAATTTGAGTGTTAATTATTATTATGTTGCCATATTGTTATTTGTTATTTTTCTTCTATTATCAATTGATTGATTAGAAACGAACATCCTCACGCATTGTTAATGCAATATTCGGTACGCAACTGTTATCGAACCGGCATTGAAATTGCAGGACCATGGACTTATCAACATGTACAAACCGAACAGTCACGAACGACTTCATGTCATGTAAACCATGCAAGCATAAATATGGAGTTTACAGATATTTGTTCTTAGTATCAGTTCAGTGGCTTCTGATTATGTATAGTTGGTGTTGACAATCATAGTGGAGACGGATATTGTCTTTAGTCGTAACACTGAATAGGTGGACGTTTATAATGCTTTAACTAAGATTCGTCTGCTTTTTGTCATGGAAAGATCCTTCTTCCTCTAAAAGCGCATTAAATTTGTCCTTGTAATGTACCAATAACTCCACCTTTTAACATGAAATGGATGAACAGGTCATGAGGCAAGTAAGCGTTGAAATTTTAGATTCGAACATGCGACCATTTTATTATGAAACACAATTCGTTGAAACAATGTATAAAATATAACTAAAAGTACAGTTTACACAGTGACCATTCAAAATCTCAAAGCATGAGAAAACAGAAGACCATGGAAAGATGATCGTTTTCATGCTTCATGGAGGTCACCCGACATTTTAGTGAACACAAAAGGGTAATTTTAACGAGAAATAGGTTGTCAACAACAATGCCACCAGACATTCGAATTTCTGACAAAGAAATGTTCCGATAATATCGTTGTGATGACAATGAAATTTCAGTATCATTTAAATAATATTTGCATAAATTGTACATCATGTACATATACAAGCAAGAAATTACACACCCGATGATTTACTCGAGTATTCGATTTTAATAGCAATAATAATGTCTCAGTGCTGTTTTCTATTTTGACTCACTACTGGATTACTTTTAGAGTCATATTAAAATTATTCATATAATAAGAAGACAAATTGTAATTGAATTCTGAAAACGCTCACGTTTCATAATGTCTGGTTAAACAACCTTTTCGCAGTTGAGAGATATAAATGTCACTTTGGTTATAAAATAAAACGTAATTTGCATCAAATATTGCGTGAACGTATAAACCAAAGTATCAGATGTACCTATAATGACTTTAAACTTCATCTGATTTCTTGAACTTTTTCAGGTCCCAATGTATTGGAGAAACCAATTTACGCCAACGACAGGTATGGTCAAACATTTATAATTACATTTTATTTTTTTAAAGAATCATACCACAATTGCTTATCTCATGCTATTTCAAGCGAAGCTCAACTACCAGAAGCTTAATTTAAGAGGTAAAGAAGAGTTTCGCTGACTTTTTGGTATTACAATTAAAGTTGAAATGTGAAGTGTTTTTATACGCTACGTATTCGCTGGTGATAATTTTACTTTTGTATTATGTTTCAGTATCCTGCAAAACTCAACAGTAACTACAGAGTCGACGACAGGTTGTTTTCTAACATTTCATTTTATTCCTTTGTTTACAACTTACATCCTTTGGTATAAAATTATGCATGAAGATCATTTGCTAAATCTAAATCAATCAGTTGTGTTCTGAACGTTACAGACAGATTGATTAGCGCTTAATGATGTCCCTTCTTTCGGTATCGTAATTAAACACAATTTGAGTATAAATTCCTTTCTATATAATACATGTCTATACTGTTGTAAATATATGTATACATTCTATCTCCGTACCTTTGTTAGTTATCAATGGCGAGGAAATTCTGGATGGACTGATGTCCTATCTTTATGTTCGTAAGTACATGTTTATTTCGTTTCAAGGTCAATAGCTATTATCCTTTGTAATCGACATTGAAAAGTAAGGACGGTTTTAATGTCTGTTTGGATGGAATATGTGTGGGTTTTTTTGACCGGTATCATTGACCATTATGTCTGATGAAATAGGAGGGCGTACACGCACATATTGTATCTAGAATTGGGCACATTTCAAGAATACTTTGAAATTCACGGTGAGCATCAATAGAACACCTCAGAATATTTGTTGTCTTGTTGACAAATTATTTCTCAGTATAACATGTTTTAATAGAACAGTTTAACTGTTTAGTGAACACGCATTTAATATAATGAGGTTATAAACTAAATGTTAACATAAAATTTAACTAATTTGCAATAGTCCAATTTCATTTTCAATTTAAATTGTATTAACTACCACCCTGGCATACCTTGAATGCAAATCAGGTCAGCGGTGATAAATTCCGAACATCACATCCACCCATGTCCTCACATTAGATTGTATACGGCTGAGTGACGAACAGTCTTTTAGAATAGAAGCACACCCATTTATTTTCACATCCTCACAAACACACATACCACACACACACACAAATATATATATATCATTATTCACTATCATTATTCCTATATAATCTATGCATGAAATTCTATCTACCTTATAAGATAGCACTTAGAAAATAATATATTATTAATCAATCGATGTCAGTGATATTGATGAAGTAGCAAGCGATGGCAGGATTTAAGGTCTTTTGGAATTTTCTGAAAGCTTCATCTTACCATGGATAAATGTAATGTAATAAATGTAAATTTTGTAGTGTAGGTAACGGATTAGCGAATAAAGGAAGGGTTAAGTTATCAGATGTGATATTTTTAATATGATCTTTCTAGTCATTTTATAATAACTAACAATATGCAACTATTCAAATATGTATGCAGTTCGATATGCCTGTTACAAATCACATTTGAAACCTGATTTGTAATTTTTTTTCTAATTTCTGGCGATTAATGATCAGTGTACATTATATAACTCCTGACTATAGAAATGAAAATACATTTCAGCCTATAGAATGATGCTTGGTATCCATTTTATTTTCATATCCTCAGAGTGTGGAGTATCGGTAGTGTTATTCATTATGACCGTTGCTTACTATCCTGATAAACCGTCCTCGGCTCCTAGTACCTCTGCTGGAATGTCCCGCCTTAGCTACGTGGAATCCTTCCGGAAACTTGTCAGGTAGCTATTCATTTAACGTCTTATCGAACCTCACAAATATCAACCCAGTGTCTAGGATATCGCTTCCGTTTAAGATTTTAATGTGAATTAACATAAATTATATGGTTCTTTGTCTTTAAATCTGAACACATAAATGTTGACTTTCCAATATTGAGTCAAGTTCGGTGACGGAGACCAATTCAACTTTCAATAAATACTGTTCAAAACTGAATGTGAAATATAGCAAAATAATTGAAGATCAAATCAGTCATTGAATTATAACTTTCTTTGCAAATAAACAATGCTATGTCATTATATTAATTAAACATATTCTTTTGTACGTTTTAACATGGTAAGTATAATTGTTAAATCAATATCTATGTTATATAATATATATAATGCAACATACACTGCAGAAACAAGCATCTGCTCTTACTGGTGCTGGTTTTCGGTGTAATGATCGGCGTCTACACGTCCTGGGTTCAAGTGATAGACATTGTATACAACCCTATCGGCGTTTCACAGGTAATGTTATTGGTTTTTACCTTCTAATATACTAATGATTTGTACTTCCATATATACAAGGAAGAGATAATGGACACATTGATTACCCAATTACATATTATTCGGCATTGAAAAGGTATATTACAAATTACATGTTTTCGAAATATGGTTACCGATTTCCTATGTAAATAAAGACAGATGCTTCATTAAATGTAGTTTTGGGGAAAAAATAAATGAACATGGTGTTGTTTAATTATCTGTATATATTTAGCTTACACAATTGATGTATTGTATGGGTTTTATCCTCAAAATCCGATGCTTTCGTCCTCAGCAGATTCGTTTAGCCAAATAAAATGAAAAAAAGTAGATTGAATCGAAGTGTTGATAATTTGATATCCTGAACAGATGCTATGATTTATTATAATAGCTGCATTTCAGCGAAAAGCAGTGGTATAAGATGTAGAAAAATAACAAGCGTCATTATGATCAAACCCAAACGGGTATACCTAAAACAGATTTAAGATACAACCATCGCCGACTGGTTTAGTTTCTGTTTCTTAAACCATTAAACTTACATGTATTAAATGCTACTTTCCCCTGTTGAACAATGCTAAGCTAAACGTGACAAATAGTAAAGAAAGCAATATTGACATATGTTCTGCTTTTTTCTTCCAGCTTAGCGCTGGGTGGATAGCTTTTTATACTATAATCATAGGCAGTATACTTGGGTTCGTTATAGCAAGGTAAGTCTCCAAAAATGTGATCTTATTCTTTGTGTTACAATGCAAATATCAAGTTATGTAGATATTTGTTATCTTTTAGATCATTGTTCCTTTTCTTGGTGTAACAGCGCCGATACGTATATCGGAAATCGATTTTTGCCTTTGTGTTATCTTTTGATGTTAAAAAAAGGCTCATTTTTTTATAAAGGTAGCATTCATTGATTCAAAAAATACCATTCCTTGTATGATATGAAAACTATTCACTAGGCTCCATTTGTGTATCTTTTCCGTTTTGTAATTGAAGGTTTTGTTAAATATGTTTTAACTGCTCAGACAATGATGTGCTAACCACAACTACATTAAAACGTCTATTTTATGATTGTTATAGCCTGTAAATACTTATCAATTCAAAACATATCATTGTCACATTTGTATCTCTACAAATTTGTATACATAAACAAATGTATCTTTATTTAATCTCTGTATCGAACGTTATCAATATTTAAATTATTTCATTATTGCAGGTACAATCTAAGTGATTGTTACGTTTAATTGCAGGGCTTTAGGCATGTACTTATGAAGCAACATTTAGTAATGATTTCGTTTTGTTGTAGGTTTTCTGATATATTTATGAAGCGACTCAAGCCAGTTCTGTTAGCTATGTTTGTACTCACCATAGTAACATCCCTGTGGACGGCTTTGATTGCTAATGGATTACTTCCGTATACTAACTGTAAGATTTTTATGCATTTTTTAAAGTAAACGATTGTCTCATTCACATTGTGTATGTAGCAAAACTGTCTTCTATAATGACATATGGATAACCAGGATTTTAAAGTCATTTAGTCGGCGCAAGTTTAGTCACAAATTGATGAAATGAGAGACATTATGACTTTATTTACATCAATCGGATAAAGGGAAATACTGAAATACACCAACTCAACAGTCATTATATTCCATGAGCAATAAAATGCTATCTAGTATTCATCTTATATATCTGTGCGATTGTGTTCCGTGTATGAGAGCTCTCTATTGAACCACTATAGTAATATCATGTTTATTTATGAGACATCAGATGAAGCAATTAGAAGCTAGTACAGGTAAAAGTAACTAAGTATAGAAAAATATATCAGATATTACGTAGGAAGGTTGTACAAAAGGCACAGCAGCGCCTTTCATTAGAATTAGATAAAGAAGATCTAAATCATGAATTAAACGGTATCTGCAGAGTTGTCTACCTTTTGTGATCTTGAAGATATAAAATAAAATTAATAATAGAATGATCTAACCTGACATTTATATGTCCTTGAATATTTATAGACAAGAATTCGGACTTTTCTTGTGTTTCCAGGCTCCGTTATCGATCTGGGTGTATTTCTGTTCTATATATATATATGAAAAATGGAAATAATCAAGAGAGCTCACAACACATTACATGATTATACGAAAATGCATTAGAAAAAAAGGATCAACGCACGATTATGTTTGTAAGATTCTTTGAAAGACCCTACCTTTATGTCAGTAACTAAGATAAAGATTTATGAAAATGTTTTACGTGACCCATTCAAATTTACGAATTCTTATTAAACATAAAATTAAGTTTATTATATGTACAAGGTAAAACGTCTTCAGTTTAAATACTAGGAGGGATTTTTCAGATTTAAGACTGAAATGAACACTTTTTGACAAAAGAATACAAATTTTCATCTTCGCAAAAATACGGTATATGGTGATGGAATATCTTCAAGAAACTTAATTCAAATATATAAATTAGTCTTACATTTTTTTACTCTCTTTGTGAAGTATGATGTTTAAAAATTCCGTAAATTCAGAAAAAGCAGATATGAAATTATTGCATATTTATTTTTCCAGGGCAGTTGTATGTATCTGCCATCGTGAGTGGTGCTATGATAAACGCCTCCTTCCCTCTGTGGTACGAGCTTATTTGTGAAATGTCCTTCCCTATACCCGGTGGAATCATTAACGGAATGTCTAACTTCGTCTTCCTCGTCTTCGCCAATGTCTTCTTCGCTCTCATGTATATTCCTGTACACGGTAAGTATTTTATACATATAGACTTCGGAAGTCGTAACATGTATATCACATGATGAAATTATAGGAGTAGTTTTAAGCAAGAGACTTATACTTTCAGAATACCATGTCAGAGGTCCCCATTGTCATCTTCCTGTGTTCATAGTTTGCCTCATTTCATCTGATGGGATGGGAATTTTAATTTTCTTTTGTTGTTTTATTTATGAAAATAAGCGATAATATCAATAATGGCGCAAAGAAAATTAACTTTCAAAATATTTTTTTTTATTTTTATTTTCTGAGTTGTCTCCCTTCCGCAGACCACCGATGGATGACGTGGACTATGTTCGTTTGTTCCGTGATTGGTTTTGTGACGTTGTTGTTGTTACCGGTGAAGTACATTAGGACAGATATCGATATGGAGTCTAAGGAAGTGGATGACAGTCACAGCAACAAGGCCGACAATATCATGATGGAAACCTGTTCTCAGGAAAACGTTAAGAATGAAAATGAATAAGTGTTTAATTTATCATTGCTAGCTTTTCATTTAAATGCATTTTCGACAAAAATATAACAAGTATCAATGTAACACGTTGCTAAAATGACGGTGATTATCATACTTATCAAAACGCTTCCTGACGCTAATAGTTCCTCCAAGAGAGCTATCTTATATTTTTAATGGAAAAAGCGTTGTAATGCAGAGCGCCATATCATTGATTGCGGACGTTGATTGCGTAATTCATCAGGAAATATTACCGTAATAGTTGTTCATGTGTGATGACAATGGCAAAATGTTTTGTGTATGTAATGTGAATGGGGTGCGTTCGATGCATATTAATGAGGCTTTAAATATGTACACATATATATATATACATATATATATATCAATACAGTGTTAACTATATTTTTGATAGTTTATGAAATAAACACACACATGATCTCTTATTTCTGTTCTTTTCTGTGCGTGATGTTAATCTGTAAGCGTGGTTCCAACAGGCTTTTTTAATCCGTTTATTGAATGTTTAAGTAGTTAGTGTAAATTATATCCGATTGATATGTGGTATTATCTAGGGCCACTAAGTATGGATGTCATTCACAGTAGTGGTATAGATATGTTTAATATAACCTCGAAAATTGATGACATCACGACAGTATTTGTTCTCCGAATAATGAAAACATTCTGTTTTTGTATCTGTGTACATCGGAAAAATCGAATATTCCTATAACACCAAACCCTGTAGTCTACGCCCTACACAAACACACACACACATATTGTACAATACACAAGTGTGATCTCGTATTGAGGAAACGAAGTATGCATTCTTCCTGTGATTTTTAAAATAACAAGTATTACAGTATAAATGACTCTCTCAGTATGTATTAACATTTTCCATGAATTTTGTATAATCTTTACAAAAGAACATCCTTGCTTGAATGCTCTGTTACTGGCTGATGACCCACGCCCTACACACACACGCAAACACACGCACATCACACGCACACACACACACACACAGAGAGAGAGAGAGAGAGAGAGAGAGAGAGAGAGAGAGAGAGAGAGAGAGAGGGGGGGGGCACACCCATCTACCTACCTACCTAAATTTCCTTGTTACAATCATACTGATATTGACATTTGACGCGTTGTAAACATTTAGCTAGTAGTAATCAAACTGTGAATTTTGTCATTTGACGCGTTGTAAACATTTAGCTAGTAGTAATCAAACTGTGAAATTTGTCATTTGACACGTTGTAAACATTTAGCTAGTAGTAATCAAACTGTGAAATTTGTCATTTGACGCGTTGTAAACATTTAGCTAGTAGTAATTAACTGTGAAATTTGTCATTTGACGCGTTGTAAACGTTTAGCTAGTAGTAATCAAACTGTGAAATTTGTCATTTGACGCGTTGTAAACATTTAGCTAGTAGTAATTAACTGTGAAATTTGTCATTTGACGCGTTGTAAACATTTAGCTAGTAGTAATCAAACAGTGAAATTTGTCATTTGACTCGTTATAAACATTTAGCTAATAGTAATCAAACTTTGTGAAATTTTACACTTTGTAAACATATAGATAATTTTAATAGCAACCGATCTTTGTAAAATTTGACACTCTAATTAACTTCAAATCTGATACATATATAGTCAACTAATGCTTTTTAATAATTTCAGCAAATGAGAAATTTAGAATTAATGATATCCTGGCCTGAAACATTCAGTAGACCATGATAATATGTATGCACTTAAATGTGAAGATATGTACTTTTGGATATTTTCAATTATTGAATTTGAATGTTACGAAATCGGAGACTTTTGTCACTATTTCTTCATGTTTACATAAAAATGGAAAATATTTTCAAGAAGACTTCATGATATGTTAAAAAGAAAATCCTTTAGATTTTCATTCTTAGAAAATGTAAGCTTTCGTCACATTATCAACAGATTCTAGTATCCCTTATTTGAACTTAACTAATAGGTCATTGTATAAGAACAAGTATGTTGTACGTGAAGCAATGCAACGGCTACTAGACAGTACACTTGATATATGTGACTATATATACATATTTTAGAATGCGTCTATGCTTTGCTTGTCCAATGTCTGAGGCAGATTGCAAGGTTAAATTCGTTGAACATGTTAGTATCCCGTCCTATTCTGAATTCCTGTACAATTTCAATATCTTGGCGATTTCTCTTTGATCAGTGGATATTACAACGCCCAGAGCATATGCGAACAAGTCAGGGTGTGGGATACGAGCATTGTACTGATTAACATGAAGTCAGTTGTGTCAACAGGTAATATCGCCAAGCATTTTGTCCAGATATGTAAGTTTCCTTAGGCAATAACTTGCGGTGACGTCTGTCCTTCGGGGATCCTTATAGCAGTTATAGGTGACCAGAATGGCGTCATATGTCAGCTCCAATATGTTTTATTGGTCATTGACGAACAGACTTTTGATCATGTGACTAAGTGGACGAGGGTTTTATTGTAATGACGAGGGATGAAATCGCGGAAAGAAAACGAATCCAAAATTTTGTAAACACTTTGTTCTATTATTTATTTTTACAAACTGGCTGTTTTCATAAACACTCGGAAACAATTGTGCAGAAAAATATTTTGTTGTTAACATCAGTGCCCAAATTAAATTATATTCCGGAATTGGGGGCAAATCCCTTCGTGGGCCTCTCTTCTCAAGACTTGTATAAGACTGATACGTAGATTCGGAAAATCAACAAGCACGACAAGTAGAAAACATATAAAACAGGCCGATGATAAAGGTTTCATTGTCAGAGGAGTGTGCAGACATTTACGGTAATAACACACACGTGTTATTTAACCGGCCGGGTCTATCGACGGATAGAGGTGTTTCGTGTGTTTCTACTGTGAAATGAATGTGCAATGCATTGTGACATATACTACAAATTAAGAAATTGAATTCGAATCTACGGAAGACAGGGACTTTTTAATAAAGCAGGGAAGACCATGAGAGAACACCCGTTCATCACGAACATCATCTACATTTTAATTGTGTTCTTTATTCTGTGTAACATTTTTGACGTCACAGAGGGAATTTTTCGTGCGAAGCAAACATGGATGAAGGATATTAAAACAAGACAACGTCACTACGGTATTGCAGCGAGTGATGTAAATGATGACGGTCACATTGATTGGATAGTAGCGGGATTCGATGGACCAAATTTTGTTCTGAAATATGACTTCAAAGCAAAACGTCTCATTAACATTGCAGTTCGGAACTCTCCCTATGCCGCCATCATGGATGAGCCAGGACAGGCCATAGGCGTGGCTGCATGCGACATAGATGGCGACGGAAAAGAGGAAATATATGTCCTTAACACAAACAAGGCATTCGCTGGTCTATCTCCGTACAGCGATAAGTTGTTTAAATGGAGAAACGGTTCTTATGTAGATCTATATTCTGATCCCATCAACAGAAACATTTCGGCAAAGAATTACGCCGGACGTTCAGTTGCCTGTATTGACAGAACAGGTCGTGGCCGCTATTCTTTTATAATAACTGCTTATGCTAACGATAAACATGGTAAATTTGCCATGATTGAAATGGACATTGGTCATCGGGATAATTACGTCCGCACTGGAAATATTGTATTAGTCGACGTGGCCGAAAAAGTAGGGATTGCTAAGGCGACCGGCGGGAGAGGAGTCGTTGTTGGACCTATACTCGGAAATAACGGTCGCTCGGACATATTTTTCGGAAACGAAAACAGCCCCTGGTTAAAACTTTCGGGTGACAACTTCTTGTTCAAAAACCTTGGAAACGGAAGTTTTGCTGATGTAGCTGTAAAATTGAATCTGGCCGATGGGTATAGTAACGCACGTGGGGTTGCCCTTGGCGACTTTGACGAGAACGGCTGGATCGATATTGTCGTTGGAAACTGGAACGGACACCATCGACTTTATTTGCAGGATAAAGATACCGGTAGATTTCGAAATATCGCAAACACACAATTTGACAATCCGTCATTGGTCAGAACTGTTATGGTAGCAGATTTTAACAATGATGGACAAACTGATATATTCTTTAATCATTTCTGTAGCAGAGATGGAGCACCAGTAAATAATCGTCTCACAACCATATCCAAATTTGGAAGCGGAATAAGACAAAATGTCGGTGATGCTGGAATGGCAAGTGAACCGTACGGATGTGGGACAGGCGGAAGTTACGCAGACTTGGACGAAGATGGGACATTAGATATGATTCTATCTCATGCTGATAGTTTCGCGGATCCGTCTACATCTCCGCTCACTGTGTTTCGTGCCTCGTCTTCTAAGTGGAATAGATGGGTACGTGTGGCACCAAAGACCGTATATGGCGGACCAGCACGTGGTGCTCTTGTGACGCTGAACTTCCCAAACGGGAGACAACTCTCACAAGTGATCGATGGTGGTTCAGGATATTTGTGTCAGATGGAACCCATCGCTCATTTCGGTTTGGGATCAGCTTTCCCAAACTCTTTGTTCGTCCGATGGCCTGATGGGCGGACATACACCAAACGATTGAATAGGTTTGAATTAAATCAAGTACACACTATTGACTGGGGGTGGTCAGTGTACAGTGCCCCGACGTAAGTTTGTAGGATATTGTGGTCAGATCTCTTTTATTACGGTTTAAAAACATGTATTTCTTGTATTTTGCTGTCTGGTCCTTAACAGTGTTGGGTTATATAAATCCTATATAAATATGGGATATTTACCTATCGTATTCAAATATTTTCTATCATCTTCATTTGTGTCGTATTATTGTTTCACTTCTAAATATGCCGTGACATGTCATTCTAATTCGAAATCGCACTCGGCAGTGATTTATCTACAATTCAAAATATCAGGACATTTTCCAGAACAAAAAATTAAAAAAAAAAAACATGAAATAAGCTGGACATTTCCTATATATTTTATGCTAATTTTCACAATTTCTGAGATGTAATTTAGAAAATAATGTGTTATTAGTCCTGGTCCCAGTTTCATGAATCTTCTTTCACAAGAAAAAATGTGAGCTTTTTCTTAACTTTTGTATGATTTCCTATGGCAGATTCGTGAAAGTGGAGCCTGGGAATCGTATGTAGAGTTATCACTACGTTCGGTATAACATTCAATTGATCTATTCTTTATAGGCATATAACTCTTCTCAGGTGACCAGCCGGTATTATGTAGTTCTGTCACGACCTCTAACATGCCAACAGGTCGGCAGACAGATGCTGACAAGTGTTACCCACATAACGTCTTTTTTATTGGTGACGTCTGGCAGACGTAATCTTGCCGATCCAAGCGATAGTGACACTATAGAAGACAATGGAAAAGTGGAGACGAGACACAAGAGGAAGTATATTGTTTTATGTCACCAATACGTGTTAGAAGATCTTGGTCATGTCTGATTTTAATTTTACATATACCTTAATTTACAATGTGAAGACTAATCATATTTTAAATGAACTTTTAAATAAAGTCACGTTTAGTTTAAACAATATTTTATTCAATACAACAATAAAGTCAACAAAATAAAAATCAAATTGAATATTCTTATTTGTGTTGTAGATAGTTTGTGTAGCAAGACAAAACCAGAAATTTGTGAATACCCCATAACATTATTAATCGATATTGTAACTTATTTACTAAAACAAAAATGGCGGAATGGAGCTGACAATCTGCAGTATACCGTTGAAATTCTCCTTCCCTAATCACGTGGTCAAAATCCATATAACGCCATACCGAATAGTTTTTCAATAAGTGCGTTAATGTTACATGTTGTAGATTTTTTTTATTATTATTAAATGGACGGTTAATCAGGACCGGTATATGTATATACAGTGTCCAAGGTCAGTCGTTGACCACGCTCGTCGTCATGAGTAACGGGTCAAACTTTACAACGCATGACTAAGTCACATGACGGTGATGATAGCTTGTGACAACTAATAAATGACAAACATTTGTCATTATTTGGGATTTCCAGTCGGGGCGACTAATATATATTTATAACGATTAAGTGCAACTGCTAGTATCTTATACAACTTACAGATAGCTATACCTTGCAAAAGTATGCATTGATAGATATTTTGAACATGTAAATAAAAACTGGGTAATTTTAAAAAGTTCATTTTTTAGTGTAATTGATTCAAATATGACGATTTCCCATAAAGCACAATGCACATAAGATTTTATCACGTGATCCGCCTGTTTTCCAGTGTGGTATTTTTTAATTTATGTCACTAGAGTAAGATACCTTGAGGGCGTTTTCATTGGCTGCACCAGCCAGAAATTGATTGCGATGTCATAGTATCATAAATGAATTGAAAATGTAACAACAAAATGGTTGCCTTCGTTTGTTTTTTCTCGACGTTTTAACATTAAAATCTATAAAAATATATTGTCTCTGAGTTTTATGATAAATTGGTTTTATTTTGCAAAGCTCGTAAAATACTAACTTTGAATATCCATGTCATAAAAGGCTCGTATGAAAGGAAGATTCTATATACATGTACGTGTATACAGTTATGATATAAATATCCAGGAATTCTAAATGTGGACGATACAAAGTACAAACTACAATGTACACGTGTCTTGCTATAATATAGATATCAGTTGAAGATGACTAGTGACAAGTATTCAGGTCACGTGTCAATCGTCCGAAAATATGTGATCACTGGAATGTCCAGAATGCGTCAATAAGTAAAGGTCAGACAAGAGAGTAAAGGTCATATAAGAGAGTAAAAGTCAGACAAGAGAGTAAAAGTCAGATAAAAGAGTAAAGGTCAGACAAGAGAGTAAAGGTCAGATAAGAGAGTAAAGGTCAGACAAGAGAGTAAAGGTCAGACAAGAGAGAAAAAAAGTGATACGTTATCTGGGCTTAGTCAAAGGACGGATAGTCAACATTTATTTATCTCCTTTTAACTTAAGTCGATTTTCCCCTCATTGAAGATAATAACAACGAAATTAATAATAAAAAGAATCAAAAAATTCTAAAGGAAGAAAATTTGTATACACGTACATTATAACTAGAAATGAAAGCATTTCATATTTTCTCAGAGGGACCTTGATTACCACTCTCGTTTGATTTTTTTTTATAATTTTCTACGTATTCGATGTTGTTATTTCTTCTATATGTCCTCTTTTTCGTTTTGATTATATCATGTGAGAGCACATTGTTAGCCATGTTAACCTAAAAAAGATCTATCGAAATCAAATAAATCTTCATCAAAATCCAAGATGGCCGCCGGTCGTTTGGTCTGTTCCTCCAATTCGTTTAAACTTAAACATGCACACAAAGTGTAGAGATCTCTCCATTAGTGATGAAATCTAACTTTCAAAATCAAGATGGCCACTTTCAGACCGTATCATGCTTAACAACATTTTTTTTTAATTCTGGCACAACTTTAGACCGAGGGAAATAACTAAAATATTTAATTTGCGAAATTTTCACTTATCTTATAGCCACAGACCAAAGTATAGTGACTGCGATGAGGTACTTTTCTTTCTGAAGATTCCCCCTTAACGATAAAATTAATTGGAGCAATTTTTACGTTTGACTTTCAAAATGACAATTATTTATTTCACATTTCTAACAAACAAAATTATTTGTTTAATAGGTACCTGTACAATAATGCTTGTTGAGGAAAAATTACAATCACTTGTATGATATCTTTTCGAAACGAAATACACTTGAGAAAAAATTACCGATATTTTATAATTAATCTTCAATCCATCAACAGTAGAGAAGGTCGTGTGGTTGTTTATACAAACATAGACATTTTTTTTTGTTTTCCAGCTGAGTTTTCACGTCACACTGTTGTTACTGTGTACAAACCATGACGAATCCGCACGCGAAGATAACACATATAAAGGTCATCGTTATTGGCGTGTTTTGACAAAAGTTACCTGAGCTTCACAAAAAAATATGAAAGATATGTTTTCCCGATATGTAAACTTACGTTATTTATTTCTGCTTTTAGAAACATCTTCATGTCCTTGTTTGTTAGACGGATTTGTTTGTATATTTTAGTCTAGAAGAACCACAGAATTCACAATCCAACTTTTGCACAGATTCATTACACGAACTGAGAGCACCACAAGACAATACACAAACAGCACAGCAGTATCACAAACACATTACTAGGGTATACGCATGCACTTCTACTCCTTCTCCGAAGTTGTTTGTCCACGTGTTTGTTTTCAAATATACTCTTATATTCGTAAAGGTGAGACCAACGAATTTCAAGAACTCTGTTTAAATCTCCCACCCCCATTTCCCGCTGATAAATCTTCCCGTCAGGCCACTGCACTTCCAACAATAGCACATTCGGATTTCTCCCGATTCCGAAATGAGCCACTGGTTCAATGCGACCTCGATATCCGGACCCTCCGTCAATGATCTGGGTCATCATTTCACCTCCGGCCAACACCAAGGTGACCTTTGACCCTCTTGCTGGTGCTGCGTATCGGGTTTTAGGAATTATTCTTACCCAGTAATTTTCAAATCTGGAGATACTTAATGATTTATTACGAAGTATGTTTCGAGTCAAATTAGTAACAAAAGTTTTATTTCGAGCTATATGTGAACGTTGAAATGTAAAATTAGTCATTGTTTTGATTGCAGACGCTGTGGAATATAATGTAATAGTTTGACCGGAAGACTCACCATGAGTTATAAGAAGGTCAAGGACACCGTCCATGTCGATATTCAATAACTATACTTCCGGTACTATAAGCTCTTGGCTCTAGAGCATCCCCAGACTAACCTCTGTTATTTCAAAATCATGCCCCGTTTTGAGAGTTTTGTTGTGTTTACTGTGAAAAGCCTATTTGGTTGGGCTCCATGATGCATAACGTTGTTGAACATTATTTCAGTGTAACCGTCGTTATTGAAGTCCGCTAGCGCTATAGAACATAGGGCGGAACCCTGTCGCATATTTAAATGGGCCATATCGATAAATTTAACATTTTTGCTATAGGATGAAATCTGCTGAATGAACAATCTTTGCGGTCCTAACCAATTCCCGGCAATAATATCTACAAGACCATCTTGATTAATATCCCCTAAGGCAACGTCACGCCCCTTTTGATGTCTGTCTGTCAAACCTAATTGTCGGGCTACATTTCTAAACTTGCCACCTCCAATGTTCATAAAAAGTTTGTTTTCACCTATTTCATT